TACACATTAAATTTAGAAAAATTATAAACACTGTAACAAATCATGTTTTTAGTTCATCATATAAATCACTACCACTTATATTATGATTTTCATCATTAAAGTAATAATTAAGTTTATAAGGAATCAGTATCATGATTCACACATGCCATTAGGTCTTCATATAAATGTAAGTCATATGAATTGCCTAATATTGCAAAATATTCATTAGTTCCTATGTGCAACTGGAGCAGATACTGAGGAACTCCTGGGTTCCTCCCAGATCACAAATTAGAACACAAACAGAATGAAGAAAATAGACTCTGCTCTTCTGGGAAATGGTAGCCTTCTTTATGTACTCATGCTGTCTGAGAAAAGATTTCACAGTTAATTGATGTGTCTACTCTCTTAACCAAGAGTTTTTGCCAACACACATTCTTCCCTTACTCCAGGCGTTGGTCACTTCTGGTGTGGGCATCAGACAACCCACAGAAGCTCAGCTGGGGCTAATATAGAAGGCCTCTACAGCACAGGGAACAAGGGGGAGGCCCCCTCTTGTCCAGGATCATGGGTGCTGTTGCTTACTTGCTGCCTCCCTTTTTCTCACTCTCCATAGCCAATCCATCAGCTGAGTCTATAGATTCTACCTCTAAAGTACATCATAAGTCTCTCCCCTCTTTCCAACTCCAATGGCACCTTTCTCCAGTTCAGGTAGCCATCATTACTCACTTGGACTACAACAACCTCTCCTTCATAGGCTTCTGCTTCCATTCTTACTTTCCTCCAGCCTGTTTGCCACAGCACCCAGCATGGTCTTAAAGTGTCACTGTCTTGCTTAAAACCATTCAATACCATTCTCTTTGCTCTGAAGATAAAGACCAACAATAACCTTGAAGTGACCTCTGGACTCTCTATGGGCTGACCTTCATGCAGCTCTCTGGCTTTTTTTCATACCAACCTCACTCACTCTTTTGTTTTCTTCAATCCATCACCCTAAGCCTTCACACAGGCTCTTCTCTCTTCCTGGAATGGTCTCCCAATTGACACTGGCTTGTGCTTTGGCCTGCTCAGAGCGGCCTCTTTGTGGACATTGTCTCAGATTACCCTCCTGTTTTATTCTATATCACCACTTCTTGCTTAGTGATTTGACTGCCAGCAAGTTTGTGATCTCCTCTACCCATCCAAAACTGGCCGGGACTGGAATTTTCATTATACTTCTAGTGCCTACTTGAGTACCTTGATCAATGAAATAATTTAATAAATATTTTTGGACAAATGGATGGCTTTGAAACTAGAGGGTGGAACTGATAGGCCTGGGTTCTTGAAAGATCTCTGGCTGCAGTATAGAAGGTGAAGGAAGGAGGTAGGGGGACACCGGGAAAGTGTCTGCCGTCTATGCTGGGCTTAGGATCTCACTGGACTTTCACTGTAAAGAGCTAATGATAAAAATCAGACAGTTTAATAGAAATGACTTAAAGGCTGAGACAGGGAGCTAGGAGTCAACAAGGTGATCTTGTGGATGCCCTAGCCTTACTTTAAATAGAGCCATTCAGCTTTATATAATGGGGAATCTGTGAAAGATTTCATTGGGAAAGGGTTCATTACTATAAACTGAATTCAAATCTTCTGTAATGGAAAGATCATCAGACTGGAGGTCAGAAGCTCTGAGGGTTTTTTTTTGGGGGGGTGTTGCTTTGGGGTTTTTTTTGGTGGTTCTGGGGTTTGAACTCAGGGACTCATACTTCTTAAGCAGGAGCTCTATCACTTGATCCACTCCACCAGCCCTGTTTTGTGTTGGGTATTTTTCAAGGCAGGGTCTCATGAACTACGTGCCTGGCACTGACTTCTAACCGTGATCTTCCTCATCTCTGCGTCCCTAGTAGTTAAGAATACAGGCATGAGCAACTGCACCCAGCCAGAAGCTCTGAGTTCTTGTTCTTTCTCTGTTTTACTACATGCCCAAGGGTAATTCCCTCAGAGTGGGGAGAGATCTGGATAATTTCTGACACCAGGCCAATGCTGACAAAATCTACACAGAGTGGTTGTTCTGGAATGACTACTTGCTTAGACTGACCCATGCCTCTTTAGTGGCTGAAAATAGGACCAATGATTCTGGAGACCAAGATCCTAGTTATGTGTTTCTTTACCTCATCCCCTGGGCAGGTGTTAAATGTCAGGGTCAATGGTCACGAGAATCAGAATCCACAGTGTGTGTGTGTGTGTGTGTGTGTGTGTGTGTGTGTGTGTGAGAGAGAGAGAGAGAGAGAGAGAGAGAGAGAGAGAGAGAGAGAGAGAGAGAGTTTTTGGCTGCAGTAGCCAGAAAGAACAGTAAGATTCACACCACAGACAGAGCTCAGGTCCCCAGGGCAGAGTAAGAGACAGTAGCTGGGAGGACAGGTTGTTCTGTCTCTGGCTATGTGGGATAGGATCAGGAAAGACCCCAAAATGAATCTGTCCTATACACTAGGGCATGTTTCCTGACCCTTCTGAACAGAATTAGTGGCTCTGTCTTCTGTGTATTGTATTGCATGCTGTACTGCCATTGTCTGGCGACATGTCTATCTCTGCCCCAGGATTGGTAGCTTCTCCAGGGCAAGGACAAAATCTGATTTGTTTTTTCATCCTTGGCACCCACTGCGGGGTGGCAAAAAATGGGATAGAACAGTAACTATTCACTGGATGGATGGAACAACACATTGACCCCATATGTTGGAGGAACAGCTCAATAGGCATACTGGTACTCAGGGAAACTCCATGTCCTTCTGATACCCAGCTTCCTGTCTTACTAGGGTCATTTATCTATTCACTTATCCAGCAAACATTTACAACTCACCTACTAAATGCTGAACCATGGGATGTGTGCCATGGGGTATGTAAAGATCAGTAAGAGAGGGTCCTGATTGAAGACAAGGGCTCTGGAGCCTGACTGCCCAGATTTGAATTTTTCCCGGTCACTTTCTAGTAGTCCAGTGGTAAGCAATTTACTCAATGTCTTGGTTTTCTCAGGGTGATATGAGGACAATAAGAGTACCTACTTTATGTGTCTTTAAGATATTAATGTATTGATGATTTTAAAGCTTTTAGAGTGCCCAACACTGGGTAAGTATGAACTAAGTGCTGGCTATTACTCTGTATTCTTGGAGCACAGGACTAGGGAGCAGGGAAGGTGATGATGCCAATTCAGAACAATCAAGGCGTAACAGTGTTACCAGAGGTACAAACAATGTGTAGAGGGAAGGGGTAGGGGAGGCATGCCGGGGGAGGCAGTCTCTGAGATGAACCTGTGGGCTAAGTTTAGATTTAAATCAGCATGCTATGAGTAAACACTTTTTAGCGTGATGATACCCAAAGATCAATCTTCATGTCCTGAAAACTTGGGATCACTAAGGGCCTGAAGGACACTTTGACCCCATATTTCCTTTTGTAGTTGAGACCCTGGTAAGAGGTCTCTGTCCAAGGACACACAGCAAGTTATTTAACAAATCATCATTCACTCTGCAAATATTTACTAAAAACTTACTGGGTGTCAGGCTCTAGGCTAGATGGGAACCCCAGAATAAAATTGTGCATTACCTACCCCAAAGAGCTCATGTTCTGAAATAGTGACACAGACAGACATGAACCCAGTTCCCCGGCCTCCCTGCTCAGGAGTCCTACTTCATGTCAGGACTAGTCTCACGTGGGCACACCGACTTCATCTTCTATGGAAACCAAACCATTTGAGCTACTTCCCCCAGCTTATGCTTGTAATAAGCTTTAGTTGCTCAGGGACAGAGCCTTATGTAATCCAACCTCTCTTCTTCCCTCAGAGCCCGGGGCTATCTAAATGCTATGTTTATTTTCTAAACCACAGCCCTGCCACCAATGACTCACAGTGACTTCTGTGATCTGCTCTGAAACCTGTTTGCCCCCGCCAGTTTGTGTCCATTCCCAGTGTCTTGGCCCTGATTCTCATTCTGGTGGTTCCTTCCTTCTCTCCCGGTTCCTGCCTCACCAACTACCAGGACTATTCCCCAACTACATGAGGATTAATTTTTATGCTTGAATGACTACACCTTAGCCCCACAGATTGCATACCACACCTGGCCACACACCTGTACAGGGGCTGCCTTCCTGTCTAGAAGTGGGGGAGGCTGAGAGAGAGATTACATTCACCCCGCCTCGTTACTTCTGATAGTGACCTCATCACCCACAGAAAGCTGGTATCCATTAGGCACAGCACCTGGAGGTAACAAGTTTTCCAAGGTCCTAGAAAAATGCTTAAGAACACCCTCCTCGGTTGTTTTTTTTTTTTTTTACAGATAGCTTAAACGACACTCCAACTGCAAAGCAGGACCTAGCGAGTCATCGCCCATTGCAGCTTCTGCAAGTGGACTGCAAATGACTCACAATTGAGTTCTGTTCAGGGAAATCACAGCGCCTTCCCAGGTGTAGCCTCTATCCATGCCAAGGACATACACGTCTGCCCCTTGCTTTAATTGGAATAACTGATGGGTCACACCAAGCTCAGGGCACTTCCTGGAACTCTGATACAACTGTCTCCCTGTTCAACTCTCCCTCTGCCTTATCCTGCTTCCATTGCTCTCTTAACAAGTGCTGGTCTTGAAGTTCTGCACTGGCTTCCCCACCAATAAACCTCGTGCACGCTCATCTACCTTTCAGTCTTCGAGGAACTCAACCCGTTTTTTCTTTTCATTGCACTTATCACTATGCGAGATAACTTTATCTAACACTTCAATACCTTCTTATATTCTGCTCTAGGTAGGTAAACCTACGAGGACAGATTTTTTTTCTCATACTCGGTGCCCCACTATATCTCGCGCCTAGGACTGGGCCTGCAAAACACAGCACATACCAAACACGGGTTGTTGAAATGAATGCACGGATAAGGTCAATTCTGCCCTGGGTCTTTAGGGTTACAGAGCCCGCAAGAGCTCGTTCCAAAACCAGAGAAGTGGCTCGGGGCGTGGCCCCGAGTCCCCGCCCCCAGGCCCAGGGGAGGGCGGGGCCCGCGGACACCGCAGCGTGCGCTATGCCGCAGCCCGCCGTCCGGCTGGTGTGGCTGGGTCGGGTGCCCTACGCCGAGCTGCTGGCATCGCAGGAGTGCTGGCTGCGGCGGCTGCAGGCGGAGCCTAGCCCCGAAGCCCTGTCGGGGACCGAGGCGGGCGCGCTCCTCCTCTGCGAGCCAGCGGGGCCCGTGTACACATCTGGGCTGCGCGGCGGCCTGACGCCCGAGGAGGCCGCGCGGCTGCGGGCCTTGGGAGCCGAGGTGCGCGTCACGGGCCGCGGCGGCCTGGCCACCTTCCACGGCCCGGGCCAACTGCTCTGCCACCCACTGCTCAACCTGCGGCGCCTCGGCCTGCGCCTGCGCACCCACGTGGCGGCGCTGGAGGCGTGCGCCGTGCGCCTGTGCGAGTTCCGGGGTCTGCCGGGCGCCCGCGCGCGGCCCCGCCTACACTGGAGTCTGGCTGGACGAGCGCAAGATCTGCGCGATCGGTGAGCGCCGCGGGGCGGGGCCTGGGGCCCAGGGGCGGGGCCAACCGAGGTGAGTGTGGAGCTCAGGCCAGAGGTGGAGTATCCAGGCGGGCTTTGAACCAGGGCGATCCCGTGCGTTCTAGTTTTATTGCCTCTTCACAGATACATCGTATATTCAGGGGGTAGAAGAGTCCTCTGACTGCTTCTAGTTCAATATTTATTATTACCAATGGAGACACACCAGAAGTTATTGCTTTCTATGAATCACGAGACACCAGAGCGCTAATCTTCAAACTTCTAAAGCAACAGAATCTCTAAGATAAAGAAATACCCTATAAAAAGGACAGATGATATGGATGGAACCACATAGTTCTCCCAGGCTATGCACAATCCAGAAACAAAATTTGAAAACCAGTGATCTGGTGTAAAATGTTTTGGAAGAGGGGAGGGCAACAGAAGATGGGATGGGAGATTATGTTAGAAGTACGTATGCATGTATGAACATAGAATAAAGAAAACCGTTAAAATTGGGTTAAAAAGGAGGGGTGGGGGACAAGGAAGAGCAACAGAGGGAGTGAATTGGATCAAAGTATTTTTATGCCTGGAAATACCACTTTGAAACCTCTTTGTACAGTTAATATATGCTAATTTTAAAAAGAAAACTAGTGATTTAGCCCAGTTCCCTCATTACACTGAGAGGGATCCTGGGGAGGGAAGGGTATCTATTCCAAGATGCTTTGGCTTGCCTTGCAGGAGTCCGCTGTGGAAGGCACGTCACATCTCACGGCCTTGCTCTGAACTGTTCTACGGACCTCACATGGTTTGAGCACATTGTGCCCTGTGGACTGGTCGGGACAGGCGTCACATCCCTGAGTAAGGAGCTCCAGAGGCATGTCACTGTGGATGAAGTAATGCCATCTTTCCTTGTGGCCTTCAAGGAGGCCTACAAGTGCACATTGGTCTCAGAGGACACCCCCAACTGAAAGGCATTCGTATTATCACAGCCAGGATGGTCTTGTGTTGGAAAGCATGAAGTTCAACTTGAGTCACCAGAACCCGATTCTAGAACTGGTCTGCCATTCACTGACCATGTGACCATGGGCAAAATGATGAGTTCTGAACCATTCTGATATCCTGGTGTATTGATACCATCCATACCTACCTCAGAGATACTGGATGTGAAAACACTATGAAAAGCAGCATGCTACATAAAACATCACGATTAGCAACACTAGTTTCTCAACTTAGAGAAACTCAGATGTCACAGACTGTCATTTCTCAATTACTTGTTATGGTCTCAGTACTGTATCTAAATAAGCAATTTCTGTTATCTAGTTTTTTGATTTTTTAGGAATCAAACCCCTGGATGCCCAGGTGAAGGTGATGTGAAGTACTTTTTCAATCTATAATAAAGAGAAAATCCACTTCAAAGAAGGAAATGGGATCTTGTCTTCCTGAGTTGGAGTCCCTAAATTTGATAATTTATCTATTTTGCTTGGGGTAGTCTGAGTAGATCAGAGGCTACAAGAAAGACAAGAATGATCTCTTTGCACAAATGCCAAGAAGTTTTTCTTATATGAGATCCCTAAGTTTGTAAGGATGTGTATTATCTCATGCTGTGTAACAAAACTAAAATGTGGTATCTTAAAACAATAAACATTGATTATCTCAAAATTTTTTTTTTTTATGGCTCTGGAGTTTGGGAGCAGCTTAGCTGGGCGTTTCTAGGTTGGGGTCTTGCATGAGCTTGCATTAATGATGTCAGCTATCATTTGAAGGTTCAGTTCTCATGATAGGGCACCTGGCTTCCCCAGGCCAAGTGATGTCAGAGAGAGACAAGTTAGGAAGTACTATGTCTTTTATGACCAGCCTTGGAAGTCATACAGTCATTTCTGTAGTCTCTTGATAGATGAGTCCAATTTAGTGAGGAAGGGATATCACAGGTGAGAGGCCATCTTAGACAATGGCTCCCATCTGCTAAGATGAAGAAAAGAGCCTTGACTGAAAAGTCAGGGGACCCAGGTTTCAGGTTTGGCTCTGGAAAAGTTGTTTCCTCTCTCTGGGCTTCAGTTTCCCCTTAGACCAGTGCTGTTCACTGTAAGTGTAATAAGCCATACTGTAATTTGACATTTTTCAGGAGCCTTATTAAAAAGGTAAAAAAGGGGTAATGTTAATTTTTATTTAATCCAATTTATGTAAAAACAAAAGTCTAGGACAGGAAATGTGGCTCAAGTGGTAGAACACCTGCTTTGCAAGTGCAAAGCCCTGAGCTCAAATCTCAGTCCTACCAAAAAAAAAAAAAATGCATGCGTGCGTGCGTGTGTGTGTGTGTGTATACAAAGTAATATAAATATATTTTTAACAAGATAATTTACAGTTTTTCATACTAAGCCTTCAAAATCTAGTGTGTATTTTGTACTTAAAGAAAACCTCATTTGACTAGCCACATTTGTGTTTATTGTTCACATGAGATAATCTTAGACTGATTTTGAGTTCCCATGGTTCTGTGGCCTCCCTAGCTTATAGGGAAAAAAGTGAGTCTTTTTCACTTCTGAGGTCTGATGTTTAAAAAAAATTTTTTCGGTGCTGCTGGAGTTTGAACTCAGGGCTTTGCACTTGCAAAGCAGGTGCTCTACCTCTTGAGCCACACCTCCAGTCTGTTTTGCTCTGGTTATTTTGGAGATGGGGGTCTCATGACAATTTGTCCAGGCTGGCCTCAAACTGCAATCTTCTTGGTCTCAGCTTCCCAAGTAGCTAGGATTACAGGTATGAGCCACAGGCATGAGTCATTCAAGCTGAATACAGAGATGAAACCAAGACAGGAAAAACCTCAAGGTCACACAATAAATTGATGACAAAGCCAGTTATAAACCTTTTCACATGCTCTTTTCCTGATGTGCACACTTGAAACAATATGCTTTATGTATCCTAGACACTCAGTCAATATTAGTTAGTTGACAATTTGTCCACCCATAATTTGGCCCATATCCTTTCTAGCTGTTAGTTTCCCATCCATGGAGAAATGCTGCTGTTCTAGGCGTGTGGGAGTTGAGGAGTGGTTGGTAATTACCTTGCAATATCATTGCCAAGAAGAGAAATAATTATTCTGGGAAAAGCAGAGTTCGATTCTCATGGTTGGAAGGTCAGGCACAATGTTTCTACCCATCTGATAGTTGGCCCTCTCTAGCACCCGTAATAAGTGACTACACAGCTTGTTCCTGAACAACCACAGAGATGAGGAAAGAAACAAATATTTACTCAGCACATATTTATAGCGCCAGGCACTGTATTCGCCCTCTTAAGTACATTCTTTTCATCCAACAGCCTGTTCTGTTCTTCTGGATCACAGAGGATTGTTGCACGGTATAGTGGCTAGTGTACTTGACCTTCCTAACCTTCAAGTTTTATTGCATGAACCAAGGATGTGGAAGCATCTGCCTCGGGGTGTGATAAGAATTAAGTGACCTAATGACAGGTAAAGCACTCAGTACGGTATCACACAGAACAAATGCTCAGTAAATACCCTCGTTGGTATTGTTATAATCTGTTTTCCATTAGTCTTCATGGGGAAATTATCCCCAGAGCCTTTCACTCTCCCTCAGGAGTATACCTGTGACTGTCTCATTGCCTTTGTATCTCTGGCACATAACACTGGGCCTGACACATAAGTAAGTACTTACATAAGTAAAATTGAACTATTTAAAATCTCCCGTCCTGCCTACCTGCCTGAGCACCAGTGCCAGCTTATTGGTGTCACATTAGGTACAGTGTCCATAAGTGAGCACCCAGCTGAGCTGGGCGTGGACAGACCAGCACACAACCTGGAAAATTGTCATTTCTTGTGCTGGGCTTGGAGGGTATAAACCGACACTCACAGGCCGCTGCTGGCCTGCAGGTGTGTTCTCTGTGGCCTACAAAACTTATGTCTGTGTGCATGTATGTATTTAATAGTTGCTAACACTAAAAAATGGGCCTTCTGCCTGACAATTGGTGGAAGCTGAGAAGTAGGTGTTTTAAATTATGTTCTTCAGTTAGTACCTCCCAAATTTTTCTCACCAGCCCTTTGCAGACATTGGTTTCTTGATTCCTGGAGGCATTTGAGTTGGTGACCCCTAATCTTGACATTCCCTTATTCTGAAATGCAGCAGAGTGTGAACCCCTCTATCAAAGCACCAGTTCTGTATTCTATTTGTGGGAAGGGGCCATGACTTCCAAAGGGTATATGAAAAAAATGCTCAACATCTCTAGTCACCAGGGAAATGCAAATCAGAATTACAGTGATTTTCAGTCCAGACAAATGGCTATTACCAAAAAGACAAAAAAAAAATAGTAAATGTGAATGAGTATGTAGTTTTGGTGTCCTAATATTGCACAGTAGGGTAACTATCATTAATAATTTAGTATATATTTCAAAATGGCTAACAAAGGATTTTGAATGTTCTCCACACAAGGAAATGATTGAATATTTAAGGTGATGAATATGCTTATTTCCCACTTTGGACTGTGCACAATGTAACAGTATATTGAAATATCACATTGTATGCCATAATTTACACGATTGTCAGTAAAAATTAAATAAGACTTAATTTAAAAAATAAAAACAGAAGTGGGCCATGATTTACTCATTTCCATGTCCCTAGCCTCTAGCTTAGGGTCTGGCACAGAATATACAGTAGGAAATGTATTATAGCTATTAATGTTCACTAAATATTTCTGGCTTCTGCCTTCTGGACACAGGACAGGATTGTATTTCATGGCTCCTTTATGGTTGGGTAGGGCCAGGTAACTTGTTCTGGTTAGTGAGTTATGAATGGAGGTGGCATGTCACTTCTGAACTGGAGCATTGGATAACTGGTGCCAGACCCTCTAGAGTTTCTCTTTCCCTCTGGAATGGTAACCAATAATATTAAGGATGGTGACTGAGGTACTGCAATAAGCAGTATATCCTGCTGCTGCTGAATGTTAACCCACCTAAATGGAGAGGATGTCAATTGTGACCGCATAACATAGACCATCCTATGGTATATGGGCTCAAGAACAGAACCAGAGCCTGAAGCCCTTTAGGGAAACTGACTAGTCTTTTCTCACCGATTTTCTGCCATGCTTCATAGTATGTGTTGCTGTTGTGCGCCAGTTCAGCTTTCTCAGTGGGAAATGGCTCCTGCTGCCATCCGTGAATACTGCGGTAGAGTCGGGGAATCCCAAGGTTTCTGGCTTGAGCAAGTGCATGGATGGATGCTTAGATGTTGCTGGGATAAAGGCCAGGTTTGGAGAGGAAAATGACAAGGTCAGTGTTTGCAAACTAATTTTGAGACACCTGATGTAAGATGCAAATGGAGAAAGACAAGAAGCAGTTGGGTGAATGGATCTGGAGCATGGTATGATGAGTGGTGGCTTAGATATGGGAGCTATAGTAGAGAGAGAAGGGTGGAGGACTGACAAATGTGACACACAGGGTGGGGAGGAGGAGCAGGCCAAGGAGACTGACAAGCAGATGGCATAGAAGTGGTGCAGAGGCCCAGAAAGGGATAACACGTCTGTCTCATTCATTTGTTTAGCAGCCTGGCAAGATGGGTAAGTCTATTTTATGGATGAAAAAAACCCCAAGGCTCAGAGAGGCTAAGTAGCTTACTTGAGGTCGTGCAGTTGGTAATGCGTAGGGTCAGTCCCAGTTTCCCAAGCCAGCATCCAGGAGAAGAGCTCCAACAGCAGGTGGGCAGAGCCTTCTGAGGGCAGAAGTCCACAGTTGAGAGGCTGGGACCATGGCATCAGAGCAGGCTCTGACTGTGGATTCCTGACTCTCCTTCCTGCCTGGCCAGATCCCACCTCCGGTTTCTCACTGGAGCCCCTCCTCAAGGAAGGAAGCTGAGCATAGGAAGGAGGATATTTAACACCCTGATTTTCCCCCTCAAGAAAACCTCTTCTTGATTGTTCAGAGTCTTTTCCTCATAAATTAACAGTTTGTCCAGAGAGTGAGTGCTGAGGGACAGGATGTGACCAACTGCAGTTACTGGTCCAACACTGGGTTTCTCCAGTGAGCCTGGCAGGAAACCAGGCAGAACCAGATCTTGCAGCATGACCAGGTGCACCTTGCTCTGTACAAAAGGCTTTTCTCTCTGAAAACTCCCATGAAAGTCAGATTTTTAAAACACAGTACAAATCTGATTTTTTTAAAACCTATCATTTACCATATGAAATTATAATACCTAAAATTAAAAAAAAACTTGCATTCTTACCTAATACAGCCTTTTCATTTGTGTGAGCAAGTATTTTCATGTAGTTTTAATTATTATGTGGATAAAATATTGTATGCTCTTTTAAAC